GGGTGAAGCTAGGATTTTGGATTCAGAAAAAAAACATTCGAATAATCAATTGCTTTACAATGCCTTTATAACAAAACAAAGAGGCATCCACCTAGATTTAATTTAATTACACATACAATTTAATAGTCAATACGTTTTGAATCCTATAGTTTGACTCTTTTCTTTGCATTAAAAAGACAAATTATTTGAAAAATAGAAAAAAACCTTAAAATATTATAAATAAAAGACTTAACAGTCATATTTTTTAAATATATATATATATATATATATATTTATAAACGATCGACCTAACGACCATTTGGTTAAAGATAAATAAACTCTTTTTCACTGGCAGTGATGTCAATTTTCCTAATTTTAGAAAAAAATAGAGAAACGTGTTAACCGAGAAGGGTGTCATAAATAAATATTGTTAACATATAACAATAAATACCTCTTATAATATTAGTCCAATTATCATTTCTTACAACAAAATTTTCTATGATTTTTTCCTTTTTTACTAGCATTAAGCGTTTTGATATTTAATATGTCTATAAGTAAATACCAAAGTTCATTAAAATTGTATATTGAAGTCTAAGTATATTACTTCTACAATAAATCATACCGTAATTTATCATCATTCGCTTTCAATAACATTGGTTTCTTAACCAGAAGTCACAAATAATTTTAACACCCAATATTTTATAGGTTTCGTTACTAGATTGAGAAATTGCATGCAAATTAGAAGTCTACGATAAATTTTATCAGATATTTTTCCATGAATTCGATGGATAAAGAAAAGAATAAAATTCCAGTTGTGTAATATATGATATAAATAATATGCATAAATTATTTCTATTATTATAAATAGAAATAAGTTCAGAATTGGGTAGGAATAGAATTAAAATTTTTACATAATTTAAAAAATTTCGTCAATTTCGCCAAAAGATATTTTAAGTATGTTATTTTATAAATTCCCAAATGAGAAATTTGTTTTGCCGAAAAATGCAATTTTCTTATTTTAAGGTTTCAAAAATTTTAAACCCATCCAATGAAGCTCGATAAGGATTCGTGATAACTGATAATTAAAAAATCATGATTTTTTGAACATTTAAATGAATATCAGTTGGTTGGTCGTTCTGATTAGTTTTTTTAAGATTTTTTTGGTCAGATCTTAAGATTTTAATGGAGTTTCTGATCTATGAACATTCGACAATACTATAGACCTACGCCACGATTTTTAATCATAAAAATTCATGAATGTTTTGAAAATTAACATTATTTTTGATTTTACACTTGCCTAGTGCAAATGATTTTCCAAATTTTACTAGTAATTCATTTGTTGCTTCTTACTACACATTTACTTCTAAATAAAATAATTCTCGTCTACTACAAGATAATTTATGTCTCTCCTCTCCGCGTGTGTTTAACGACACATCTATTTATTGATTAATGGATCGTTTCCATAAATATTATACAAATTATCGAAGATTTATAAATATTTTTTAATTAGCTCTACAAAAAAACTGAAAGGTAATTTGTAGTCAAGGTTGACATTCGAGAACCTCACGTGAATATTAACATCGGGCAATATCAGGCTAAATATTGTGAAATAGTATTCTGACATTTTAAAAGTCATAAATTTTTAAATATTCGAATGAACTTATCAACGCCGATAAATTATACAAAAATCCAATCCATATGAGAACGATGTGAATAACATATTCACGCACCTGTAATTTATTCTTAGAAATTTTGATGTTCAAAAGCTCACAATTAAGTAACAGGCAGTAGCGGCGGATTTGAGATGAACCATTTTATTTTACAGTGGCGTAGGATAATAAAATAAATTAAACAATCAGTAGACATGAAAGCTTCTACTTTATGCCCACTATTGACCACTTTTCCTAGGCCTGTGATATTTTTGGGATGCTCGATAAGACTATGCACATTATCACTATGCATGCTAAGTTTTCTTTAAAATCGTCAAAATGATTTAACAATTATTTACGAAGTAAAAGGCTTATCTTTACCAAAAAATTACGATACTCAGCGGAATATCTTTCAAAAAGTTCTTGAATTTTCAAAATCGGTTTGGTAATTTTACCTTTTTTGCTATTTACCTGAGAAATTTATATGTTGGTAATATTTGATAAATTATTATCAAATTTTTAAAAGATTATCGTTACAGCAATATAAAATTTACAAATTCATAAAATATATCCGATTGCCGATAATGAAATAAAGAAATATGAAATAATTCGATACTCATTGTTCACATCTTCGGTCATTCCCAATGTACAATTATCGAACCAGCCAATTATTTCTTAATAATTTCTTTATAAGTTTAACAAGAAAGGCAATTGTTCCCATTGCACAGATAGAAAGATTACATACGTACTTAATTATAAAATTGGTTACAGGAAATACTAAAAGTCTGTAATCTATCGAATGCTATATCGGCCACCAGTTATTACTTCAAATGTCAGAGTTAAAATCAATGGAAAATAATTCGAAATAAAAAGTTCATAATAAGATTACAACATTTTATTTTCTTGATCGAGAATAGACACATAAATTTATTATTAATGCAGTTGCAAAAGAATTGTAATCAAAATTTAAATACTATCTCACGAGAACTATGGTGATATGCAACATGTCAGGTGAATAAGTTCTCGGGCATTCAAGTTTGCATAAATATGAATATAAATATATATATATATATATATATATATATATATAATGTTATGATTCTATTTTTCTAACCTAAAAGTCTATGTTTTCTGGGATTATTAACTTCCCGTAGGGTAAGTTATAGTAATCGCAAAAAATCGAAAATGAAAATTTTTATATATTTTTACGTTTCAAAGGTTTCTGAATATTTTGGCATACCTTAGAAAAAATGGATGTATGTGTGTGTGTGTGTGTGTGTGTGTGTGTGTGTGTGTGTGTGTGTGTGTGTGTGTGTGTGTGTGTGTGTGTGTGTGCGTGTGTGTATGTATGTGCGGATACAAATTTTCGTCGACGATTTCGGGAACACGGATCAACCGATTTGAATAATTCAAAAAACATTCGATTCGTATTGATAAGGAGACGTGCTGATTAGTTTTTGGCGAAGGCAGGTCTAGCCGTTCCGGAGATACGGGGCAAAAAGTGCCAATATCGGTAACTCAGTTTTCAAGAGAACGGAAAGTCCGATTTTAATAATTCAAAAAACATTTTACTTGTATTGACAAGATAAAGAATTGATCAAATTTTCATAAAGGCAGGTCTAGCGGTTTCGGAGATATAACGAAAAAAGTAAAAAAAAAAGCCATTTGGCGGTCAAAAATGATCATTAGACATATGTACATCAAATTTTCAGATATTTTATAGAGATTTTAACAATAAGTATAAATTTTGTTTATTTTCCTATGGGTTCCGTATCAATGTTTACCCGTTAGACAGCGACGCCGCGCTTACGCGCTTTATATTTCATCTCTATGCAGTTAAAGCAGTACGATTGCTCTGAAAAACAAGTTCAGATCTTCCAAAATATGTCAAAATAAAGAAAACATTTTTCTTAAAAAAAAAAAAATTAAAAAATTTTTAAAAAAAAATTTTTTTTTTTTAAAAATTTTTTTTTTCAAAAAAAAGTAATTTTTTGTCCAATTTATAGTTTCTCAAAAATCTTATTTTTTCGAAGTAAATTTTTTTCAATTTTTCAATTTTAATCGTTTTTTAAAAAAATAATAATTTTTGGTACGGGAAGTTCCAGCAATTTGCCTTAAGGCACGATGCCCTAATTGCCTTAAGACAGAATTCCACTTACAGCTAGTTTATAAATATTTTTACATTTTGGGGATAAATAGAATATTTATCTTCAGTAACTGATAAAACGAACAAACAAATTGTACATCTTTTTATTTTATTTTTTAATTTAAATTTTACCATATATTTGCTGGTGTTTGATAATTGCTGAAGAAAAGGACTCGTCATATCCCCGAAAAATAGTTATAATTATAAATAAAAATTAAATACATTTTTAGCACCATTTCATAATATGTATAGAGTTCAGAATTCTAATAGTGTTCAAACTTTTTGATTCTAAAACACAAAATATTTATTTTTTACTCCTCAATTAATTTGGTTGACAAATAAAAGTTTTAAATTTATATTTTCATATGAACCCAAGATAAATATTTTTGTACGTGTGGGTGTTTCAATTAATTTACAATAACTAGAATTAATGTATTTTAATTCGATACAAAATTATATTAGTTCAAATTGTTGTAAATTAGTTGAAGTACTTACACAAAGGATGTATTTTTTAGTACTTATGAAAATTAAATTTTACAATTTTGATTTGCCAAACAAATTACTTGATTAGTAAAAATAATTCCTTTAAAATCAAAAAATTTCAGGGCTTAATTAATTCAATTATTTGTATATTTTCATATCTCATTTATTGTATACACCGTTGCAAAAAATTTAAAATGGTCGATTTTATATCATTCCTAGCGTCACCAAAAATATGGATCAAATTGATATTATAAAAATATTAAAAAAATATTAATAGTGAAAAAATGTGGACATATAATAAAATCTGAATAAATGATATATATTGCATTTATTTATTGCAATTTATTGTTAATTATTCTCGTAATGATAATAATGTGTTTTTGTAATGGCTCTTGTAAAACTAGATCAGTTATTTGCTTTTCTTTCTTTTCAATTACAATTAATTTTTTAAAAATTGAGTTACATTGAAGTTTTATAAATAAAAACCGATGGCTTTCATCAAATAGATTATTTAAAGTTCTCTACACATAATAGTGATTAGAAATAATTTAGTGATGTATATGGTGTTATATCATATTATAAAATAAACAATTAAAAATATTATTTAATACGTTATATATTGAAAATATACGACTTCGGTATAGAAGTGAAATTCGCTTAACAAAACGCATGAGAAAATGTCATCATATCAAGCGACCCAGCATCTGAAGACGACTACCAGTCACTCGAGGACGTCACTGTCGAATATCAGTATATAAACCGCATCTTCACAATATCTTCATCACAGTTTACCTTTAGAACTCATCCCAGGTTCACGGAATAACCCAAACATTTCCAAAATGAAAATGGTGAGCTCTATTGAAATATATAATAAACACAATTATTCAAATATTAGCAGTGGAAAGTGTTAATAAGAAACTTTTTTGGATTGCTTATTAGAAGTGGATAGTGCAATTTATTTTAAAAGTGCTTTAGATTTAATGTGATGGAATTAGGATCTTTTTACCAATGTGTTGATATAAATTCGAGAAGGATTTTTGTATAATGAATGAATGATTTTTTTCAGATCATTGTTCTCGCTGCCCTCGTGGCCCTCGTTGCTTCAGCCCCCCAACACCCCAAGGATGCCGTAGTAACCCGCTACGAATTCGACAACATTGGAACTGACGGATATAAATTCGCTGTTGACACCAGCGATGGAACCAGCCGTCAGGAACAAGCTGAACTTAAGAATGTTGGAACCGAAAATGAAGCCCTCAGTGTCCGTGGATCATACACCTTCGTAGGAGATGATGGTCAACAATACACCGTCAACTTCGTCGCCGACGAGAACGGTTACCGTGCCGAAGGTGCCCATTTACCCCAAGCCTAAGACACACCCCCTCCAAACCACTGATAATCTAGTTAAACCAATTTCCGGAAAACCAATTTGATTCAAAAATGTTAAATTTTTATTTTTATTACTTTTATAAGTAAGTTTTCGTTGTACATACAATTTATTTTAAAGTGCCATAAGATAATATAATATATTTTAAATCCAATGTTATGTTTTATTTATTTCTACTGAAAAGCAACATCAAAAGCGATACTTGGAATACAACTTGGAATACAGCCGATTCCTATTTTTATTCCTAATCGTTATAAACGTGAATTGGCAATAATCATTATTTATTAATGATCAACTGAACTTTTAAATGGCAATTGTCATATAAAATGCGTTTTGAAATGAATGAGGAATGAGATACAGTTGAATTATCAACTTTTCTCTAATCTATATTTAAAGAGAAAATATTAAGATGATTTAATAATAGGTGTTAAGTAATCTAAGGGGGTATTCTAGTGTAGAAATTCAAAAAAATCGATTTTTTTTTTATTTCATATTTTCAAAGTTTAACTATTTAAGATTATGGGTACGAGAAGGTTTTTGATAATTTGAATTATTTTCGGAGAGCATTTTACTAACTCGGTCTCCATACTGGTTTGGCTTCACGCAAAACTTTAAATGCGTTTTTCTCATAACAGACTTTTTCAGTACTGTTGACACGATTTCTCGAGTTTTAATCGACCGATTCACTTGAAATGTTCAGAGAGTCTTGTTTATAGACCTATCTATAGTCCGAACTAGGATTATCCCGAAATTCAAATTTTTACTATTTCTAAAAAATTAGAGAAACTCAAAAAAACAGTAAAAAAAACTTTTTTTCAAACAGTCGCCAATTTATAAAAAAACATCATTGTAGATTAATAATCATTTTATTTCTTTTATTTCGGATGGCTGGGAGGGCTGAAATCATGTCAAGACTGAGGGGCCAATTTTTTGAGACCCCCCACTTTATCAGCTGCCAGTTTTAGTATTTAATTTCATATTGGAACCAAAAAAAAAACACGAAACAAACTGTTACTTCTTAAGAATTATTAACGTCCTTTCGGAACTATGTATATTTTATCCTCAGGAGACATGTTATTAGTTAGCAGATTCACAAATAAACTTTAATTTTTAAATATCCAAATAAAGGGTCCGCCATCTAATATTTTTTTTTTTTTGGAGCCATTTAGATTTTTTTCGCAGCCATTCAAGAGTTAGACAGCTTTTTGAGCGTTTTCAAACAAAGTTGGTCCATTATTAACTGGAAAAATTGACCTTCGAATAAAAAAAGAAATTTTAAAAAATATTCAGTAGTTTTTTTATAGCATTTTAAAAAACATATATGGCGGACCCTATAGAAAAATAATTAAAATGAGAAAATAAAAGTTGAGTTGTTTTGTTTTTCTATTATTATTTCAAACTTCTGGTTTGAAGCAAAAAAAATACGATTGATCTTATGTACTATAGTATGAAAATCAATCGACTGTTCTGTCTATATTTTAATAATTAAATAACTAATTTGGTCGAAGTATTAAAATTTGAGAAGATCAACGTACAATTTACGACTGACCAAATCATAAAAAAAACTAACTTATTTTAATAGATTGCATAAAATATTATTATATAATTTCCAAAGGAGTAGTGTCGTAATAGGATACATTACTCCTGCCAAAGGTGTGGCAAATCTCAACAATGGTTCGGTGAATTTTTAAGCGTACATTAATCGATAATAATATTATTATTGCATTAGGCAGACGTTTTACGATCTATACAATCATAAAACATGCATTAGTGTGATATAATAAGAATTTATTAATGTTTCTTAGACATGTGTCTTATTACATACATGCGTGTGCAATTGAAAAGGTTATTGCATGCCGGACCGGGTTATACAGCAGTAAGTAGATATTTAGCAAGAATTATTTGTAAATCTTCTTAGAATTTGTCTAATAGTGATGTTGTATTTTTAATTTGAGGTGGCAAGAGGGGAAGAGATATATATTTTCAAGGAATACCACTACTGCTTGATATCAGTCTGGCCGAGATGAATGCCGAACTTGGAATCTTGGAAAATCGTTACTGCTGAGCTACGGTAAGTCCTTATTAATTTTATCAATTTATTTTTACTTGAAGATCAGTTAATTTGATTATAGAATCCACAATGCTGTTTTGGTTGGAATAACGAAAATGGTTTAATTTGAATGTTATGAGATTAATAAAGCATTAATGTATCGTTTTATTATTTCCTTCGCTACTCATTTATATAATTATCTAATTATAAGATGTTTGATAACTTTGCATTCGAAACAGATTTCTAATTCAATGAACCGTCGAGATCCGATACTAAAACGTTTTTAATAAGCTCAAAATTAATGAGTTAATAATACGTCTCCGTTTTCTGACATGTGGATTAATAACCTTTGAATAATGTTTTTTTAAAACAACGACCTTAAACATTATATGGTGTTTCGATATTTCGAAACCCAATACCACAAATTTGAAGATTTGAGCGATTGCAAATACCTGTCTGGTAAGTCGAGGGATTCATATCATAATACTTTTCTTGCAAGACTGTAATTCGAAGAAGATATTATTCAAACAAATTATAAAAAAAATATTGGAGTGAAGCAATTCTGGCAACTGGAGATGATCGCTGGACAATGTTTGATTGTGGACGAGGCGACCGTGACATTTTCGAAGAGACACGCGATTAACAAAGTAGCGATTCCATATTTCACGTTTTATAAAAAAAAAAGTACTAATTAATCAATCGTAAAATGAATGTAAACATTCGAAAAACATATAAGCCAATGTCGGCGAATTTGATTTCAACTCCTACGACAACTACTGAAGTTGTCATTAACACAAAACGAGAAAAATGCAATATACCTACTATTGTGTTGATTTTTCGACGTATCTCTTGATTATTCATTATAATTAAAGACGTTTAAATCCACCATATAACTCAATTATATATGAACTAAATTTTAATTGAACGAAATCATTTAATTATGAATCACTTAAAGCAACTTTTTTGAGCAAGTAAAATCCTTTTCCTAATGTTTCAGAAATACTTTCTGATGACTATTGCTCTCTAAAGATATTTCCATTCTAAATTCCCCATTGCAGAAATGTGCAAAAATGATATGCCAGTATATAAATAAAATAATAATCACACGGGAATAAATGCAATGAAATAATTTAGATTACCCAAGAATATGCAAGTGTTTGAAATTCAATTGATAAGTATAGATGATATGTTTAAAACTGCAATTCAATTAACTAATAATTAAACTACTATTTGTATTATTTCATTATATCGATGTCTTTGTTTATTAATATTTTATAGGTTGTCTATAAAATAATAATTAAATTCATGTCATAAATATTATGATGGTTCTCTTAGTTAATATTTAATTACTCTGGTGATTGAATGAACAGTAATATGAAGGTACATATTTGCATTGTATAAAGTCGCCATAATTTTAATATTTACACTTTAGAACGTTTATTTTTTAAATTAATGTTCAAGATAGTATTTTAACTCTTGGAACTTAAGTCAAAAAGTATAGATTTACTGGGCAAAGTAAAGGATGGAGAAAATAATAAATAGTAAGCAAGCTTATTAAAATGTTTGATATTTGATAGGCCTGCGAATAGTCTAATAAACAGACAAATTCATAAGGTGACCGTTGGGTTGCTTTTTAAAAAAGCGACGTTGTTGAGAAAAAATACTCGTAATAGCTCATAGATTGAAAATTGAAAATCACAAAAATAGACCGCATCAATTTGAATTTGAAATTGATTTTTTTATCATTCGATGATCTGCCAACTATTAACTGAGCTTGTTATCCTATGCTAGTATATTGAATTATAATTTATTTTGATTATTAGGTAGGTTTGAAAAGATATTAGTCATTACTAAATTGAAATTGCCAAACATATTCTTGACCATCATAACATACATCGCAGCAAATCATCATTCACAAAAAGTAAAACGCTGATCATCGAATTGACCTTGTGACCTCAATTCAATTTTAATGATATTTCCATACACTCGGAGAACATCTTTTCATCTGCGGAATTTTCAGATTCTTTTCCTTGTTTTATAAATTCATCGAAACCTGTTTATGAATATAATTCTAGATAATTAAAGGATGCAAACCGCCTAAGTGGGTTCAAAACCGAATGATCGTTTCGACCGTATGTGAGAGAGCATCATAATGTCATGTGAAATTGCGTAATGACGAAAAAAAGTGAAAATGAGCATAATATGTAGGTGAGATTCGTGGCGCAACCAAGATGAACGACGACGACGATGACTCGAGACTTATGATTATGAATGAATTTGGGTGCTAAGATCAATAGAAAATCACATATAACACGGTGACAGAGATGGACAGAAATTGTTAGACTGTTGCAAATTATATGTGTGCAATGGTTGATTTTATGTTAATAAATGCACTTAGCACTGGCACTCTAATAACTATATCTGAACTAGTTTGAGTTTGAATTGTTTTGAGCACTAACACTCTTGTTCCGCAGGACCATATATAATTTTGTAGTAATTAGGACCTTTAAAAATCTAGTCTCTAGTGGTTCCAAGACTGGGTTTATGTTTACTTAAAATATGATTGCTGGTCTATGGATGAAACACAGAATAAGATAAGAATAAGAATAAGATTTAATATAAAACTGACTAACACCCTCTGGTATTTTTTGTTTCTTTTAGCAATATAAAAATGTTAGGTATATTTGGGAGCTGCGATGGTAAAAATTGAAATTAAGAAAACAGTTCAAATCTCATAAGAGAAGCTTGCGTTAAAGAACATTTATAATTGATGAACAATTCATAATAATTACACGTGCTTCTTATCTTTTTTGATGATGAGTTAAACAATTGTTTAACTCCAATTTTACCAAATCCAATTTTATGAAAATATTGTTTCATTAGCATAATATGCTAATGAGACAATAATTTTTATAAAATTGTATTTATAAGTTTTTGATAGACGAATAAGTGATCTACTTTTTATACCTCAAGCAATTTATTGAGCTCCTTCTCTAGATTTCATTACTTTACCCTATTATCTTGTAAAAATTGTCGTTTTCGGTTTGACCATTAATTTTAAATATAAAAGTTCTAAAAATCAAGTATTAAGTATATTAAATATTCAATATATAGTGAAAATATATACCTTCACATTAAAAATAAAATTAATTTCCGTTATATATGTTATATATTTATTTTAAATTATATAAAACTTATATGTTATTTTCTATTGTTATCTTCTGAAGAAGTATATGTTTTTGCCAAAAAATCCGGGCTTGTTAGTTTGTGTTTCTGGGCCTCTCAAGTCATTCTGAATTGTTTGAGACCAATATTGGAAGAAGTATATGTATATAAGAACCAAAGTTTAAACATTCATCGGCGTTTTGTCAAAAAACGGCCTCAAAGATTTAAAAAAAAATAAAAAGCATTTAATGGAACTGGATAAGGATTCGCGTTGAATAGTTTTGGGACAAGATTTTATATAATTGCAGATAATTGTTTTATATAATTTGCAGATAAGTGCAAACAATCTCAACATTTTTGTTAAAATTCTAAACTAAAATCAATTGGAAATCGTGCGGATTAGATCTTTGTAAATAATGGTGAAAAAATAAAAATTTGTGTAGTGATAATAATATAACATACTATAATAATAATTAATTGAGCATTACATTTAAAATGGTTCCATTATAAATATTTCTCGAAGCCCAGAATTTTTAGATGGGCTTTTATGAACACCGAAGACTTCATTTCCGAAATTAAAAATTGAAAATTTTATCAAAATAGCTAAATCTCAATTCTTATTGATTAAGTTCGATTATTTCAAAGACAAGTTTGTGCAACTTGCCTCAAGGCAAAATGCCACATGCACCTAGTCTAAGTTATTAATTTAAATTTGCCGGTCGTTGGTTTGCGCAATATTTTTAATCAGGCGCTTCGTGTTAGTTCGGGCAACTCTACTCTCTACTGTCATATCACGACTGTCAAATTTTGTTTTGGGTTGTGTCCTTGTGTCAAACGCCAAATGCCTACGTTTGCTTTTTCTAAAATTACGTTATAAATTGTAAATATTTATTCCCTTTTTAAGGATATGGCCAAATTGTTATAGCATTTACTAGATTTAATAATAATATTAAATTCAACCATGGACAATTCACAATCTTGTGGCAATGTAAGATAAATAGCACCATAATCTGTTTGAGTCGATAATGGTTATGTATTATTATTTTCAATTCTAGGAATCAGAAAATACCTCAAAAAAGAGCCCATTTGATAATTTAACTCAAGCTGAGCTAATAAAAAAATGTAAAAATTTGTTGGTAATTGCTCAGAAGGCCAACAAGCCAGGGACGGTATGTACAATTAAATTTAATAAATTTTATTAATCCGCAGGTATAAATAATATTGAGTTCATGTATACTCTAAATTAGCTTGTCTCGAAGAGAATAAAACTCTCAAAGATGACATCATTAATTTTGAACAACAAAGAAAGTCCGATAAAGAATGTCTCAAGACAATGCAAGAAATGATTGAATCCCTAACTGAGCATAAATTAAAATCATAACAAATATAGACGAACTGAAAAAGCAGTGAAGACTTTAGAAAGTACAATGACTCGCTTACTAAAAAAAATATTTCAATTGAAGAAAAGTTGTTACAGTTTGACACAGAAAATTTATCTCTAAAGAGGCAAATTTCAAGATTAACCGATGATAATGATAACTTTTACAAGAATTGGAAGTATTAGAAAATAGGCTTAATAATGATAATTCACAAAGTGATTTAGAAATATCACAAAGTGAGTTAGAACTTAAGCTGGACTCTTTGATAAAAGAGAATGAGGCTCTCAAAACAGAAAAATTAAAATTGAGTGAAGAAATTAATGCCATAACTAGTGAAGTTGAACTAAAAACGGAGAAAACGATGGATAGCTAAGAAATATATCCAGAAAGTACAATGACTCGCTTACTAAAAAAAATATTTCAATTGAAGAAAAGTTGTTACAGTTTGACACAGAAAATTTATCTCTAAAGAGGCAAATTTCAAGATTAACCGATGATAATGATAAACTTTTACAAGAATTGGAAGTATTAGAAAATAGGCTTAATAATGATAATTCACAAAGTGATTTAGAAAATATCACAAAGTGAGTTAGAACTTAAGCTGGATTCTTTGATAAAAGAGAATGAGGCTCTCAAAACAGAAAAATTAAAATTGAGTGAAGAAATTAATGCCATAACTAGTGAAGTTGAACTAAAAACGGAGAAAACGATGGATAGCTTAAGAAATATATCCAGAGATAATATTGGTTCCAGTAAAAATAAATTGCATGAAGAATTATTTGAAGAAACCCAGGATCCTCATCAAAATGATGCAGGCCATAAAAACATGAAATCATATTGATTTGCAAAATCTAGAAAAATTATTAGAGAGAAAAACAAGAAGAAAATAAAGCTCTAGTAGATGAAATAAATAAGTACATTTATGAAAATAGTGAATTAAATACTAAACTCACTCAACTAGAACAGTCTGATAAACAAAACACACTGAAAATAAAGTTTTAAAAGATAAATTGAAAAATATGAGCATGGATTTGAAGAAAACAAACAAATTAATACAAAATTTGAAAATAGAATTGGATTTTCAAATTGGTAAATTAAATGCAGAAAAGGATGAAGCTGATTCTAAGGAAAAGAAAGCTCAGCAAATCGCTGATAAAGAAAAAAGAATGTTAATGTACTAAAGTTACAAATAAATGAGCTAAATACAACTATAAAAGATAATAATAATAAAATGGAATGCTTTGAAACAGAAGCATCTGAATTGAAACAGAGTTTACAAGCAGCGCTTGCTAAAAATGCAAAATTACAAGATGATAATAATTACTCTTAAAAAATATTGATGACTTGAAATTCCAATTAGGTGAAAGTCTAAGTAGCAAAAATCTTCTTGAAGAACAAATTAATAAGTTAAATATACAGTCAAAACAGTTTGACGATGAACAAATCCAAGAAAAAGATGAAATTATTAACAACTTGGAAAGTAATCTTAGCAATGCCAAAACGCAAGTAACTGTATCTGAAGAAGAAATTAAAACTGTAAAATTGAATTATGAACAATTAAATCAGAATTATAATGAATTGGTGAAAGGCAGAGAAAAGTTAATATCTAAACTTAAAATGTACCATCAAAAATTAACTGAATTTGCAAGCAATTTAAAACATTAAAAACAGACAAGAATGAACTTTTACAGACCATGAAAGATTATTGCAGTACAATTTCTGATTGGCAAATCAAAATACTACTATATCCTCACAGCTTTGTGATAAATTACTAGAATATGAAAAAGAAATAAAAGCACTGCAAGATAAATTATCATGCATTGAATCTGAGCGACGGAATATTACACCTGAATATATTGAAAGTTTAGAGACATTAGGAAATGAAAATCTCAAGCTAAGTGAAGAACTGAAAACTGTTAATGCCGAGCAAATTGAGTTTCTGAAAAATAAACTCGAGAGTTATGAAAAGGAGAAAAGGTTCTCATTAACTCAAACAATGATTTATTGAAAAAATTATCAATTTTATCAAGTGATAATAGTCAGATGTCTGAAGAAATTAAAAAATACTAGAAGATAAATCAACTTGGAAAGCAATATACAAACTCTTGAAGAGGAGATTGTTGGAAACAATTTACAGAAAACACAATACAATTCCCTGAAATCAGATAATGAGAAGTTAATCAAAGAACTTAAGGAATCCAGGTAAATTTTTAAACTCTTTTCACTCAAAAGTATATTTTCTCATACTTTATTATTTAATTACATTTTTTTAAAGGTATAAATGCTCTGCCTTAGAGGATATGGAAACTGATCTTAATAATTTACGTCAACAACTATGTAATAAATCTATTGAAAATAAAGAATTGCTAAATGAAATGAGGGAAATAAATGAAGTCTTAAAACAAAGAGGTGAAACAATATCTAATCAACAAGAATATTGTGGTGAATTAGAAAAGAAAATATTTCTTTAGAAAATGAATTAAAAATTTATTATTCAGTTAAATGATAAAGATTCACAATTAAACGATAGTTATACTCAAGTTCAGAGAAATGAACAGGAATTAAAGATCAAATTCAACAATCTGATCAAATTAAAAATATCATAATTGAAAAAGATTCATTAATAGAGTCACTTCAAAACGAAGTTGGAAAGTTGAAGGATAAATTAAATAATGCCGGTAGTTTAAATGAGTATTTTATTTATATAATATTAATTTTGTTTCTAATTTATTGTTTTAATCATTAACAGATGCTCAAAGTGATGTGATGTCAACTTCTACAATATCTAGAGCAGAAGAAGCATCCCGATTAAAAGATGTTGAATCATCACTTGAAGAGCGCTATACAAAAATGAAAACGCTAGCATGTAAATATAAAAAAATAGTCACAGAAAAGTGTTCTCAATTGGCAGCCCTAGAGGCAGAAAATAAAGCTTTACTTTTGGAGAAAAATGAATCTACAGGGAAAGTATCATCAAATGCAAAGAATATGCAGATTTTACAACAAGAGTGTGATAGATTACAAGATGAAATTGAAGAAGAAAAAAAGAAAAATAAAGCATCAGATAAAATTATAAATTCTTTGAAAGATGAAATCACAAAGATTAAATCTGAACTCGATTCAAAAGAGGAGAATGGCAATAAATCAAAGTCTACAACTGAATCTAGTACTAAGGACAGACGATCAGTAGAAGGTTCGAATAAAGAACAACAAAATCTTATTTTAAATTTAAAGAAAAATCTACAAGAAGAAATTGAAAAAAGTAAAGGTTTTGAAAAAGAGATTAAAAAATTAGAAGAAATTGTAAAATCAAAAGAACTGCAGTTAAATGAACAGATTAATAATGTTAAGTCTATAAAAGATGAACTTGCAGAAAGCAAAAAAGAAATCAAAAAGAACAGTGTCTTAATTTTAGAAATTGATAATTATGAAAAGACACTAAATGAAATCTCAAAAAAACTTGAATTACGTAATGGAAGAATTAAGGAACTTGAATCTGCAATTTCTTCAAATTCAGACACTATCAGTTCTTTGAAAGAGCAAATAAAATTACTAGAAGCAAATTTAGAGTCTGAAGTTCAGCATAGCAAAGAAATAAAAGACAGATTAAATTCTACTCAAACCTCTTTGAATGAATCGGAACATAAAAATTCTTTGCAATCAAATGAGATGTTACAGCTTAAACATGAGATTGAAAAACTTACATCAAAGATTGAAGAACTAGGTGTTGAATTTACTAATGTCGTAGCAGAGAAAGAAAATATTATCACTAATTGTAAAAGTGAAAAAGATAGCCTTCTAAGGCAAACTTATGATATGGAAAATACTATTAGTAACCTCACCGAAAATCTTAGTAAATGCAAAGATGAATTAATGGATGTTAAGACAGAGTTTTCAAGTTATAAGGTAAATTTATACATTTACATGTATGTAACAAATGTAATTGTTTTTTTTTTTTTTAAATTTTATCAGGTCAGAGCCCAATCAATTTTGAAGCAAAATCAATTTAAAGATGTTAGCAAAGAAGATGAACTTATAGAAGAAATTAAATTATTAACAATGAATAATAAAACTTTGACAAATGATTTAGAACAGATGAGGTGAATTATGAAATATGATAGAAGATGTTTAATCAATAATAAAATATTAAATTTATATTTATTATATATTTGCAGTAAAAAATATGATAATCTAAATAAGGAGCACATGCAAGTAAAGGAAGAAAAAGACAAAACAGTTGAGCATTATAATAAACTTGTAGCAGTTGTGGATGAAGTACGTGTCCGACATGATTTGCTATTAGAAGCAAATCAAACCTTAAACATTGAGCATCAAGAAGCAATAAAAGCCCAGAAGATACAAAATGAAACGCTTATTAAGTGCTACAAGCAACAGATATCAGAATTACAAGAACAAAATAAAAAGCAATTGGAAGATTTTAGAAAGCAATTTGAACAATTGAAAGGATTAAAAAAGTCAACAAAAGATAAACATATCAATGAGCTTAAACAACATGAACATTTATTTGCAACTGTTCAAGAAGAAAATGAAGTTAATATTTCGATGATGGAAAGAGGAGATGGAGAAGGTTCTGAAAGCACAAATTCTATTTCTCCTACATTCATAACACAAAGAAAAAGATCAATTACAAATACGAGATCAAGTAGAGATATAATACCGCTTGACGAATTATTGAATTCTTCAATAACTGATTTTAATACAAATGAAAGCTGTGGAGATTCAGTTTCACCTACTACTGAATTACTTAATATTAGGAAAAATTTAAGTATGGAACAATTAAGGTAAATTATGTTCTCTTTTAACTATAGGTATAATTTATATTATTCACATTGTATTAATGTAATTTTATGTTTGTATCGATAGAGTAAAACACTTGACTAGTTTATTATCTGAAAATGAACAAGATTTGGCTAAATTAACCCAGCTCAACGAAGTACTTAAAGAGGAGCTTAGAAAAATTCAAAGATCAGAAGAACGTGAAAAGCATACACAAAACTCTGAGTATTTGAAAAATGTCATATTCAAGGTATTGTATTATATAATTTAAAAGTAGATATGGGATTTTAATGATTTGTTTAATTTTAGTTTGTAACTTTGAATACTGGCGATGAGAAGTCACATTTAGTACCTGTTCTAAAATATGCTTCAAAGATCAGAAGAACGTGAAAAGCATACACAAAACTCTGAGTATTTGAAAAATGTCATATTCAAGGTATTGTATTATATAATTTAAAAGTAGATATGGGATTTTAATGATTTGTTTAATTCTAGTTTGTAACTTTGAATACTGGCGATGAGAAGTCACATTTAGTACCTGTTCTAAATATGCTTTTAAAATTAAGTCCTGAGGAGACTCAAAAGTTACAAGATATTGCTAAAGGTAAGTATTAATTATATTTAACTTATTTAATACAAAGTATTCCTAAATATATTTGAAAATTTTAGGAGTTGACTCATCAGCTGGGGGACGTGGTTGGGGTAATTATTTACCACGGTGGTCAAATAATCATTAAAGTGCAAAGTTTAGTTGTTATTATTTATATAGTTAGTTATTTATATGTGTATATGTATATATTTTATGCGGTTGTAAATTTATAATATAAATATATGAATTTTATAATTGATTTCACAACAGAACATTAAAAATTGCGTTTTGATGATTAGAGTATAATAAACTGCAATTATAAGTTAAATGAAAAGCGAAAATCAAATTAAAAACTTACCATGCAACTGCTCCTGTATGAGAACGAAAATCAATTAATAGCATAACACTATTTGTCACTTTAGATTAAGAAAATGCACTCTTCATTATTTATAGTCAACAAAATTACAGTTAATATTTTTTATTTTTATTTTTATAGAAAGACGTAATGGAATAATAATTATACTACTATATATATAATCAACAAAATTTTGCGTTATGAATACAATTGTTTGGGTTCAAATTTTGTCAAAACTTGTATAATCAGTATATATATATAATCAGTATAATAATATTAACTTACATTCAAAATTTTTGACTGTAGATTTTGAAAATTTGAATCCAAATAATTGTATAAACAAAATATTAAAATTTTTGTAATTTATTTTCCGATATTTATTAATTCTGTTGATTATGTATAATTTGTATTATATATTTTGACTTTTCGTTTCTCTTCGGTTTTCGTCGTTTTTCACACTATTCAAATTTTTAGTTTGTTCGGCTTCGCCAACATAAAAAAAACAAATGACCCTGATATACTTCCTGACTCTATATGCGTCGCGAATTCCATTTGATGCATCTTCCCCACCAATGAGAATGCAGTTTACTCATTGCATATAATTAGCTAATTCTGTCGGCACATTTAAATATAGAGTTTGTGTAATAATTCCATAACAATCGTTATAAATAGTGTTTTAATTGAAAATAACGAATATTATATTATTTTATTGATCGTCAATTCCCGGGTGGGCCAATAATTCGCTACTGCGCAGGACCAACAATTGTCCTTTTACGTCTCTTATCTGGTAAGTGCATCCATATTATTTCATTGCATAAAGTATTTTGTAATTATTACATTACACTTATAAAACGTGTGGAATTATCACAAAAACTATTCTCTTGGTATGGGTACTTGAATTATATAGTTCTATTTGTGCTAATTCCTGTAAATTAATGTCTAATTCGTTTTTATATGCGGTTCAGCCTTGCGGTGCACGCCGCATGTAAATTTGATACTTATAAGCCGCATATGATTCTAATGGAGCATTTATTAAATGTAATTCTTTATATTGTGATAGAATTATAATCTGTCGCGACTTATATTTCATTAAAATGTAATCTTATTTATGTCAAATTGTTCGACAATGGATTAAAATGCCTTTGTAGGTATATCACAGCGGCGGCGGCGCTATAAATAAATCAATTTTTATTTGAAATGGATATGTATATTATATTGCATAATCGAATTATATAAATTCCTTATACAACATAAAAAGAACCCAAAGGAGATTTTAAATAATATATAACACTTAAAATAAAAATGTTTCTGAACTTAATTTTATATTGAATACTCTAAGAATTATTTATGAAATCATTGCTAAATTTAATAATTAACATTTTTTTACATATAGGTTCCATTACAAGTATTCTTATAATATGAATATATACGCTATACAAGGCTCTCAGATAAAATTATTATCAATCGATGAATTCTACTAATGATATTTTTTTACAGTGTTTGTGAAAGATAAAAATGGGTAAAGAAAAGACACACATCAACATCGTCGTAATCGGCCATGTCGATTCTGGTAAGTCTACAACAACGGGGCACCTGATTTACAAATGTGGAGGCATCGATAAACGAACAATAGAAAAATTTGAAAAGGAAGCCCAAGAAATGGGCAAGGGCTCATTCAAATATGCTTGGGTAATATCATTATTTTAATGTAAATTATGATTTGTAGAATGTATATTGAATTAGAAATTTATATCTGTTCGATTGTATATTTTGAAAACAAATAATTTCATCGATGGTTTCTAATGGTTTTAACTATCTAATATCTAGAGCAGAAGTAAATCATATTATTAATTTTTTTATTCAAAATTTTTATTAGGTGTTGGATAAGCTGAAAGCTGAACGTGAAAGAGGTATTACAATCGACATTGCACTTTGGAAGTTTGAGACAGCTAAGTACTACGTCACAATTATTGATGCTCCTGGGCACAGAGATTTTATCAAGAACATGATTACTGGTACTTCTCAAGCTGATTGCGCTGTGCTTATAGTAGCTGCAGGTACAGGTGAATTTGAGGCTGGCATTTCCAAAAATGGTCAGACTCGTGAGCATGCTTTGCTTGCTTTTACACTTGGTGTAAAACAGTTGATAGTGGGCGTGAACAAGATGGATTCGACAGAGCCACCTTACAGTGAATCTAGATTTGAGGAAATCAAGAAGGAAGTTTCTTCTTACATAAAAAAAATTGGTGAGAAAATTATTTTATTAAAAGCTGTAAAATTTTACTGAACATTTTTTGGACTTTGAGCAATTAAGTTTTAACTCACTTTTATAGTTATTATATGAGTACTTAATAATACTATATTATTTCTGAAAGTGATAATACGTTACTGAACTTGTTATCAGAATTCTCTATGATATGGTGATTAATTTATATACTGTACAAATAAACTTTATTTGCTTTATCTACATTGCTGGGAAAGTCAACCTTTTATATAAATTTGTAATCATTCAATGTTTTAACATGGAGCGTATATTACTTACAGGCTATAACCCAGCATCTGTTGCTTTTGTTCCCATTTCGGGTTGGAATGGAGATAACATGTTGGAAGTTTCTGAAAAAATGCCATGGTTCAAGGTAAATATTATAGCACATAAATCTATATATTATATTTATTCATTCATATTATTTATATCAAATTTTTATGATATCAGGGTTGGACAGTGGAACGTAAAGAAGGCAAAGCTGAAGGTCGTTGTTTGATTGAAGCTTTGGATGCTATAATGCCACCTTCACGTCCGACTGAAAAGCCTCTTCGTCTGCCACTGCAAGATGTTTACAAAATTGGTGGAATTGGTACTGTGCCAGTTGGAAGAGTAGAAACTGGTGTTTTGAAACCAGGAATGGTGGTTGTGTTTGCCCCAGCAAACATAACTACTGAGGTAATTTTATTATTTATTGTAGATTTTATTATTTATATTAAAATAGCTGCATTGCTAAATTAATATTTTATTTAGGTGAAGTCTGTCGAGATGCATCATGAGGCATTGCAAGAAGCAGTCCCAGGAGATAATGTGGGATTCAATGTGAAAAACGTTTCTGTCAAAGAACTTCGTCGTGGTTATGTAGCTGGAGATTCCAAAAATAATCCTCCAAAAGGAGCAGCAGATTTCATTGCTCAGGTGATTGTTTTAAATCATCCTGGACAAATTTCTAACGGATACACTCCTGTGCTTGATTGTCACACCGCTCACATTGCTTGTAAATTTGCTGAAATCAAAGAAAAATGTGATAGACGTACAGGTGAGTACTATCAAAATAATCAAATCTTCTGCATGATTAGGAGCTAATAATTATATCATATCATTAAAGATGAAAATTGTTTTTATTTTGTGAATATAAGTTTTAATTTATTTCATATTAAAATTAAAAACAATATGAATTTAAAAGAATCTTTTAGATATAGAAATTTTACTATACTTTTTATATTGATCTATTACCAGATTATCAATCGACAGTAAAAGATCAATACTAAGAGTATGATTTAATTCAATGATGTGCTATATTATTTAGTTTTATTTTTATCAATTAATAAGGAAAAACCACTGAAGAAAATCCAAAAGCCATTAAATCTGGTGATGCCGCTATTGTTAATTTGATTCCATCTAAACCCATGTGTGTTGAATCATTCTCGGAATATCCTCCTTTGGGAAGATTTGCTGTAAGAGACATGCGTCAGACAGTTGCTGTTGGCGTAATCAAGGTATATTAGTCATTGATTATCTATACTAATTGATATACTTATTTATTGGACACTTTACTTTAATTAATCTTTATGAGCTTATAGACAAACTTTCAATAGAAAATTTAATTCATCAGACATTTTTTAATGATTTTATTTAAAGTCACATTGCTTCCTTATCTTAGTTTTCTAATTCGTGAAGCGTTTATAAAAAAAATCTGTGTATTATTAAATTCAGAGTGTGAACTTCAAAGAGTCCACTACGGGTAAAGTCACAAAGGCCGCAGAGAAAGCCCAAAAGAAGAAATAACTAGAGAGACTCCTTGTAAAAGCCATCATCACGAAGCTTCTTACCAAACCCACTAATATAATGTTATATCTTCATCAGAATTTCGAAATATTGATTTTATTGATTCAAGAGCAATTAGAAATAGTATCTTTGGTATTCTCCAATGTTTGGACAGCTCATAGCAGTATTATTTGTCACAAAACACTTTTTAATATGATTGTAATACCCCATATGATATTTGTCAACTGTTTCTATTCATGTGTGAATGCTTTAAAATCTTTTTTAATTTTTTGTTGTATGTGTAATGAAATTAATTTTGTGTCAGAGGATAGTAATGGAACGGATACGAATTGTAAAGAAAGCTTAAGAATGTATATTCATCGAAAGGCATTTCGAAGAAAAAAGCATATATTGGAAAAGAATTTTATTAATGTGTATTTATTAACTTTACCAAGTTTCATAATAAATTTACTATTAATATGTTTATATAAATTAAATGCTTCTAATTTAATATCATAGCACTTGTGATTATGAAATTATTTTAAAGTTTAACTATTGGTGATATAAAAAAAGTATTTTTATGTATAAAATATTTTATCAGGTCTAGTCAAAGTTTTATAATTGGAAACGAGTGATATATTGAAAAATAAATATAAGGAACAATGGACTGGTTATAAATGTGATTAGTTATTTAAGAAATTTGTTATTGATATACAAAAATTATTTATTTATTTATATTGTTTTTATTGATGTTTAAATTATTATGTTAAATTCTTAATACATATGCTAACTATTGAATGTACTTGTAGTGAACACGAATCCCACATTTCTAATTGCATACTGTAATGTTTTTCCTATCGAAATATAATAAGAATCCCATTCAATGTATGGAGACTGTTTAATCGTCTATGAATAAAGCAGCTTCGAATGTGATAGTGATTTTATTTTAATATAATTTAAATTCTATATAATATTTGTGAAAAAATATATATACTCATCCCATTAAATATCCGTTAATAGTCTCAAAATCGATATTTGAATTTTAAAATTTTTAGGCGTTATGAATTTTATTACCAGGTTTCGGAACTAATTTTATAAACTCTAATTTTATATGCTAGTTGAGATTAATGCATGAATTTTGTTTGCATACTGTTTTTTTCATTTTTTCGTGACGATGTGAAATATCAGTCGAGTAATATGAGTTTTAATAAATTCCGGACGGCACATTTATTTTTGCAAAAAAGGTTAGTAAATTTTCAATAATATACAAACTTAATATTGCTATATTTATATAATTAAAATCAATTATTTTTAGGTTCATGCAAATATTTTGCCCGGTTGTCGAAAGAGCGAATTATATCTTTGGAAATCTTATTGGAATTTCGGCGAATAGTACAGGTGAATTTTCTTGTAAGAATCTAATACGTTCCATACATTCCTTGTCTAGAAGGTAAGTGAATTTTAAAAATTGAAATTATTCAAAAATTTATATGCTTATAAATTTAGTAAACAAGTTTAAAACAATATTTCCAACTGAACAGAGCAAAACTTCTACGGATATTTATTGGAAATCGTGATATTTTCATTATTATTGCGTTCATTTTATAAATGCATTTATTTAGTCATCGTTGAATCTAATTTGATTCAAAGCAGTACCACCCACACTTTTTATTATTCATTAAAATTTGAATATTCATTAATACTAAAGAACATTAAAACTAAAATTACGCAAAGCACTGAAAATAATTTTTTTTTTGCATTTTGGAGATATGAAATTTATTTGTAAATGTAATCTAGTGATAAGTACTCGTATTTATAAAATAAATTTAATATATTAGTATTTAAAATTTAGCATAGGTAAAAGGATTGTTTTTGGAAATGGACTAAATTAAAAATTGTAGTTAAAGAATATATTTTGTTATCCCACTAATATTACGATATGAAACTAGCAAAATCATCGATTTTTGCACCATCGGGTTATTTGATGTGATTTTTCTCGTTGGTATTTCAAAAATGTATTTAACGCGCTATAATCCCTTCGCACATCATTAATTGCCCCAGGGAGCCTCGCATAGTATCATCTCGAACGCAAACATTGCATCGCGCCGGTCGCTCAAGAAGACGCTCGTGTTAGAAGAGTGGAATTGTAACGGCACTCTCGCCGACCACCTTCTGTACCTCTACCTGTTGTACCTCTTCGCAACAGACTCTTGTGTTAGCGCGCGTCAGTCTGTGACCATTATTCACCTTGCGAGCATCCCCCCGAAACTCGATTATGTGACTATTACTATTTTGTTAAATACCATTTAAAGAAACGCATCCCGAAGTACAATCGGAATCTAACCCCAACCTTTCCATGGATTATTTTGTGTTTAGGGTTTATATTGCGACCCAGTGTTTATTAAAGTGTTTTAAGTGAGTTTTGTGTCATGCTTATTCAATGATTTGCATCGGTTTTTTGGTAATCGCATATGGTTTTGTGTTTGTGTATGGTGCCGTGTGATATTGATAGCCCGCATATCTCTTTTTTCTTGTGTGAATTCAAGTGAGTGACCCCATTTTCAACCGTTCTGGAGTCCGCGAACTACAAAGATGGCTGCCACCGCCGTCTTGTGTTTTAAACTGCTGACGTTTATGGCAATGTTCTTACTGATCGCATCTCATGCGTCACTTTCACAAATGTCACCCAAATCGACATCCGTCCAGGATTTTGTGAGTTACAACATCGACAGAACGGATATGTCACACGAAATCATAAAACGTTCGGCTAATCCAATCTTAGGAAGTAAAAGGTCCTTAAACGATGATGTCAGGATATTAGATTCTAATTCTGTAGAGACTACCAGTAACGGAAAGTTTAATAATGTACGAAGTATAGATGTGCCGTCTGTCAAGAGTCGTGCTATTGAGTTTCCTGACAAATCAGATAAATCGCCTGAAACAGAAACAGATGCTAGGTCATCAACTAGTCAAGAAAGACAAAATAATCCTGATATTAAAGATATAATTACTGGCATAGTTAAATTATTAAATGGAAATGTTAATGTTCAGGCAAATACCCAGCCGGCTTTATATAGACCGCCACCTAGGCCATACAATACGCGAATTAATAACAGAGGGCCTCCGCGAATTTCTGAAACACCATCTTTACCACCACAACCTACCAAAATTCCTCCACCTTATCCATTTTATAGACCAGATACATCTATGCCATTTTTAAATGGTGTTCCTATCCCAGAACGAATTGTACCTCCATTTATAGCACCACCTCGAGCTCCTAGCCATCCTGTTCGAAGGCCACCCGTTACTGTGTCATCACCACCTAGCGAGACACCACCAACAACTACTGAAAATGTAGTTGAGGTTCAGAATAATACAGAAATTACCTCATCTCAAAAACCTGAAACTCCATCAGAGGTTCCGCCGACCCCTGCACAAGAAGTGTGGGAAACAGTTAATATGTCCTCGAATAGTGTAGTTACCGTGCATGAAGCAAAGCCTGTGGAGCACGAAGAAAAAGATAAGGAGCCGGTTATAACAGATAATTTCACTCCTACAATTACAGAAGTTGCAAATACTCAAGAGCAAGTAACACCGTCAACAACACCGGCACCTAATAAACCTACTTCAGAACTGAAAACAGAATCGTCAACTGAAATCATTACTTTGGAATCGTCTATGCAGGATGAATTAGTGACCTCATCGATTTCATCATATATTCCAACTCCTTCTATATCCTTAACGTCATCAGTTAACACTATAAAATCCACAACAAAACCTGCAGTAGCGTCGTCATCTGATATACCTTTGCCATTTACTAATTTCCGTATCCAAAACCTGGCATAGTGCTAGATGATCCAGAATTCAAACCAGGTATGAAAAAGCCTATAAATAAAATTCAACCAATAATAACAGCTACTAGGCCTTTGCGACCTCCTGGCTACGGAGAAATTTTTGATATAACAGTTTCAGCAATCCAAGGACCTGGATCTGCTAAGCCTTTAAATGGTTTTCCAGGAGATGTGGAAGTAGAGACTATTGAGTTAGGTCAACCAGAAAATAGAGACGACATAATAGTATCTCCTTACGGCAATGAAGGTTTTGTCTCTATCGATGGTAAACGAACGTACTTGAACTTATTTGGCGATAACACTGTTGGAAAACATCTGCACCATCCATCCAACCTACACCTGTAATTACTCAAACCTCCATTCATACGGGCACAGCAGTACCTACTTCACTTTCGCCACCACCAAAATTGCCAGTGAAACCTATTCATGTGCCATCCAGAAGACCGAGTCCTCCTGTAAGAATTGATACTTGCATTGTTGGAGATGACTCAACGTGTGATCAATCACAAAATGAACGCTGTAAGACCGAAATTGGTGTTTCTTCATGCCACTGCAGGCCTGGTTACACCAGAAGAAAACATAGAGAAGCGTGCAGAAAAATGGTTTCATTAATGCTTTCATTAAGAGTAGATCGATTGTATGAAAATAGGGTTAATTGGGATCCTAGTTTTAACGATCCTGTAAGCGAACCAAGGAGAAAGATGACTTACGAAGTTGTAAGGGCGATAAGTTCTGCAATGTCTATGACACCATTTTCTGATGACTATTTGGATGCTAAAGTCAATCGAATTTTCCAAGGCGATGCGGAAACTGGGGGCGTTTGGGTGAATATGACGATGAATTTAAACGAGAATTCCGAAACGATTCGACCGTCGACCAAGGGTGAAATTCAAAAGCACTTACTTGGAGTTATACACAGGCGGAATAATAATGTAGGAAATTCCGCCGTGTATGTTGATAGTCCAGTAGGAGCAGTAGCCCATGTTCAGGACTTAGATGAATGTACAGATCCTGATTTGAATGATTGTCACACACTAGCTAAGTGCACAAATGTTTGGGGAAGCTTCAGGTGTGAATGTCCTGTTGTATTAAAAGATCCTTGGAGAGATCAAGTTAATCGAGCTGGAAGGATGTGCGAGCGCTGTCCTGATGAATATTGCAACAACCGTGGAGAATGCAGATACGAAGATTCAGCACAGGTAAGAAACTAATTCATATTATTATTGATATAAAATTATTGATTCTTATTTAATATTGCTTGAAGTATAGAATTTTTATTATTATAGATATATAATAAGTAGAAATATTCTTGAATAATTGACGGCTTAACGTATTGGCGACTACTCAGAATTTAGATAACTATTTAAATAGGTCCTATTCTTACTGATTTTTTTTAAACGTGTATTCCATCACAATACAAATTCTTGTTATATATTAATTATGTAAATATGAACACGCTGTACTTTGTTTCTTTAATATATTTTAAACGTTTAGAGAGGGTGATTTTTTTCATCACTAATGCAAAATTTAACTGCAAGAAATATATGTTAACACATTATGTAAAGAACTTATTATTAATTATGTTTAATTATGTATAGTAACAAGTACG